AGTTAAGCAGCGACGAAAATAAAAAGGGCACGCCGCGAACAACGAGGGATACTTTACTGATTATTATCAAATTCTCAAAACTTGGATAAACAAAATGTATAATAAACATTATTGAGAATTAATATGTTGAAAGAGTCCGTGGATAGACTTTCTCCAAAACCTTTCAACGCGTTTAATAGTACAGCGCGTTTTCGTCGCGCGCTTTCTCAACGAGTCGCTCGTGTTCCGAGCGAAGAGAAGAAGTAGACTTAAGGCATGTGACTTCTTGGCGTTTTGTGCGTTTGTTAAAATCGTCCAGCTAAAAGCTGCTACACAGCAAAGATTATCCTGGTGAAAATTCATGCTCTTTATTAGGTGATGTTGTTGTACGTGTTGTAGGGGAACTTGCCGTTAGACGCGAATTTTTTGTGAGCTGAAATGAAAGTTTATAGAAATGAAATAAGAAAATGAAAACTGCTCCAGAGCTAAATATATGTTAGCGGCACGTATTTCTGTGTCCATCAAAAGTTCTTAATGTTAATCATGCTTTAATCTTCACTTTTTCCTATTTATTCAGCCTCAAACCCACTAATTCCGTATTCATGCCCCTTTCATAAACAGCTTAAATATGATACAAAAAATTCTGACAATTTCGCGGTACCTAATATCGTAAAAAAAATCTTGGCTGTACTTGATACCTTCCCTGCCAACCTATGACGCAATCAAAGCGAGAACAGCGCTACAACATCGAATCAGGCTAAATTGACATTCAGGTCACCGTGCGAGCAGAGCCTCTTTTATTTCTTTTTGCTTTATCTTTTATGTACCGTAAGAAAAGGCTCTGCTTGCAGGGTGCATTCAGGTATAAGTGCACGTGTAATTATATTTCAAAACAAACTGCTCGTCTAGCTTTTAACATGTATTGATAACCCATTGTTTCTTTCACCGACTCTAAGCTGAAATGTCTATTCATTATATTTTTACAGTCCGAGTTTTCCAAAGTGTGTAAGCGCCTTAATTTCTCCGCGGAGCGATAAAAGTTCCTCTTTTGCTGTGCGTTCAGTTACGCAGTTAGCGTCAGTTCTTTCTGAATGTGTAAATTGTTTTTCATTTTCCTATGAATTAAGCCATTAATTCGAAATAAAAGTGAGCTAAATCAACGCCAANGCCCCTTTCATAAACAGCTTAAATATGATACAAAAAATTCTGACAATTTCGCGGTACCTAATATCGTAAAGAAATCTTGGCTGTACTTGATACCTTCCCCGCCAACCTATGACGCAATCAAAGCGAGAACAGCGCTACAACATCGAATCAGACTAAATTGACATTCAGGTCACCGTGCGAGCAGAGCCTCTTTTATTTCTTTTTGCTTTATCTTTTATGTATCGTAAGAAAAGGCTCTGCTTGCAGGGTGCATTCAGGTATCAGTGCATGTGTAATTATATTTCAAAACAAACTGCTCGTCTAGCTTTTAACATATATTAATAACCCATTATTTCTTTCACCGACTCTAAGCTGAAATGTCTGGTCATTATATTTTTACAGTCCGAGTTTTCCAAAGTGCAGTAAGCGCCTTAATTTCTCCGCGGAGAGATAAAAGTCCCTGTTTTGCTGTGCGTTCAGTTACGCAGTTAGCGTCAGTTCTTTCTGAATGTGTAAATTGTTTTTCATTTTCCTATGAATTAAGCCATTAATTCGAAATAAAAGTGAGCTAAATCAACGCCAACCTTTTTGCCGTTTGCCATATCTGATGCGTTGTTTAGCCTTCTCTTCCTTAAGGACCTGCCATGCAGTTTGAAAATCAACCGCTCGGTGCTTTCGAGTTAATCTCAAGGTGGTCCTACTTGAAGTATTCGACGCCAAAACAGTTTCGCAAGCATCTGGATAATTTTCAAATATCTTTCTTGCCCAACATCTGTTTCTTAAGTAAGTCCTAACCCGATCATAAATGACGCTCTTTTCGGTCAGAAAATAGCTTGATCGGTGTTTTAGAAGCGCAGCAGCTGACATAATCTTTTCAACGAACAACGCCATATTTTAATAACTTCTTTCAAGGAATCTACAATGTTTCATACGCTTACAAGTTAACAGTTTGAGGCCAAATCTTCCCATACGGACGAACAAATTGTACCTATTACTTCTACGAGTTCATCGTAGTTTATCGTTGAATTCTCGGCTTAAAAGGGGTACAAAACAATAAAGATGCGAGAAAGAAAAACAGCATTCACATACGCGGAAAGTAATTCCGTGATTTTGCTGTTATCTTAAAGAATCAAAAGTTTTCTTTTAATGAATATTATGGCGGACACCTTTTTTGCGCTTTGTACAGGAGCAAAACCGGAAAGGCTAGTTGACGCCAAACGAAGAATAGTAGTGGAAATTTATGATTAGTCCATCCTTATCTGTGATCTGCCTAATCTGCTAACATATGGAAAGACTTCAAATTTTGCCTCGGGAAAAATAGCTATTAAAAATACGCGCCGTGGGAAAGATGTTGCGCTAGGGAAAGAATATAAAAAGATCTGGAGACAAGGCAAGCTTCAGATATACTCCACCGAGTTTTTGCGACTTCCGAAAAAAAGGTATTGTAATTCATGATTAATTGAATAAATTGTTTAAACTACTCTCGAGAGTAAGACTGCTTGGTAAACTGAATCGTGTCGTCGTTTGATGGCAGGGCTTTTGAATCTTTTATGGAGTTTCAACGAATTTGGAAAAACATAAGTACTTTTTTTAATATGTATTTTGCAACTTGCTACTCTCCGCCATTCCATCGTTAATTTGTATCGAGCGAAGCTTCTGGGTTTTTTTTTTTTTGTTCAAGTAGTCAAAATGACTACAAGGGTTAATTGTTTCAAGCTCATGTGAGGTGTCAACGAAGTCAACATAGAAAATAATAAATTGATTTTATTAAAAGCAAATCAGTCCTTTTAAGGACCTCATACTCAAAAAGCTGCCGCTGAGTTATAGCGCAGTGTTATGTCAATCAATCTGAATGGCTATTTGCATTACTTGGGTTCTTAGCCTTTCGCGCGTGAAAATCTTTGTTGACTTTGGCTATGGCCGTTATTAGGTAATTAAGTAAAAATGACTAATATCTGGCAAATAAGTCAATAAATTGTCACAGGAAACGAATATGCTCTTTGCTGTCTGTTATCGCACCAGATCGGAGCGAGGTTCATTGTATCCTTTGTTGGCCGTGATAGATTTGGCTGTAGCGTCATGGAGAACCAAATGAAATGCTATATTAATTTTCTCGTTGATGAAAAGATATGATTCTACAGCTTCATCAAGTGCTTCCGAAATTAGCTGCAAAAAATGTTAATCGTTATCGCCTCTGATTTTTCTGTTAAAAGCAAAACTTTGCTTCGGAATATCATTATCTAAATCAAATTTGAAAGTGGTACCCCAAAGTCTGCGGGAAAAATTGCCCAATACCCTTTTGACGTTGGGCCACTGAATTCAATTGACCTTTTAAGCCATTGCTTTGCTAAGACCGTGATGCTTGAACATGTTCCAAATATTTACATGGCGTATTCTCGTCCGTCGTCCTTTGTTTCAGTATATTTGCCTTTCATAAAAATCCGATAAACACATATTTGTCCTGTGCCGAGGCCTCCAATTGGATGGTATGGCCAACTATGTATTTACTTACACATTAAGTAAGGTGCGTTTGTTTCTGGGGATTTCAACATTTGATCAGTTGATCCAGAGTGAAGCCTTGCTGTTGAGGTAAGTTACAATTCTTCAATGTTAGCACGTGCATAACCTGACGTAAGCTGACATACCGTCTCCGCCCACTTAGAGCTTTTAACGCAAACATATACATTTTTCTGATAATTCAACAGAGCGGAGGCCTTGGAAGATCTCTGACATTAGACCAGCCTTTCCTTTCTGATTAAGTGATCTTTCAACGGGGTTTCGCCGAATATTAAGAATCGTCAAAAGACCGTCTTTTTTTGCCTTGAATGTGAAACTGAAGAGCTGCGCCCATCTGCACTGAACTGAGGTCGAGAGAGCTTGATATGGAATTGCGCGCAATGTTGATTGCAGCTTTCCTCGTGCTTACAATCGGTGAGACTAATTTTGTCAAGTCTGCAGATGACAATGTTGTCATTAGTACAAGATATGGATCAATTCAGGGAGTAATCCGCCGCTTCCCGAGTATCAACAAACCCATCAAAGCTGTGAACAAGTTTCTTGGCATTCCGTACGCTGCGCCGCCGGTCGGAGAATTGCGGTTTAGACCTCCGAAGCCAGTCTCCGCTTGGAAACCTGCTACTTACAACGCCTCGTACTTTCGAAGCATTTGCATACAACCCGGCGACTACAATGTGCTCTTCTGGCCGAATTTCTCCCACCCAGAGAGCGAGGATTGCCTGTTCTTGAACGTCTACACACCCCACCGGACTGACAGCTCAGCGGCCGGAGACTCCTACCCGGTCATGGTTTACATTCACGGTGGGGGGTACGAGGTGGGTACCCCCGTCGTATCCCCCGGAGATGTGATACCCCTGTGGGGAGTCGTTCTGGTCACCATACAATACCGATTGGGGCCCTTTGGTTTCGTTACAACTGGTGACCCTGAGGCACCCGGAAATTATGGGATGTTGGACCAGATCGCGGCTTTGAAGTGGATCCAAGAAAACATCAAAGACTTTGGAGGAAATGCGTCAAGTGTTACCATATTTGGTGAAAGCGCAGGTGGGTCTAGTGTTGGACTGCACGTGCTGTCTCCTCGCTCGAAGGACCTTTTTCACCGTGCTATTGCTATAAGCGGTGTTGAACTCTCTCCTTATGCAACTGGATCAAACACTTCTGCTGTGAAACACACAAAATATTTGGCTAAAGCAGTGAAATGTCCCGTAGATGAAAGCAGCGCGATCATAACGTGCCTTCGCTCAAGGGAAGCGCGTAAACTTTTGCTCAACACAGCTAATATATGGAGACCTGTAGTGGATGGTGACTTCCTACCAGACACACCCGAAAGTCTCAGAAAATCCGGGAAATTCAACCGCGTCACACTCATGGCGGGCTTCACAAGCCAGGAAGGAGCGTACTTCTTTCCAGGCCAAATCAATGCTCTCACCGTTAAAAACTTTCCAGAAACGGTCAGTTTTGTGCTGCAATACATCCTCAGCAGATACGGACAGACATGGACACCTGAAACCAAGGTGGCTGAATCTCTGATAGACGCGGTTGTTTTTATGAACACTCCGTGGCCTTACGTTGAAGACCTCAATAAACTGAGACGCGGGTTTTCGGATGTAGTCACTCATTCTTGCGTTGCAGAACCCGCGCATGCGAGTTTGACATTCCACAGCAAGCATAGCCCAGCCTACCTCTATGAGTTCGCGTATCGTTCGAAACTGGACCCCTCGCCCGAATGGCTGGGCGTAAGGCATAAGGATGACACACCATACCAGTTCGGTTTTCCACTGATGAACCTCACCGTCCTTCAAAACTTCGACGAAGCCGACAGAAACGTAAGCGACATGGTCATAACACTGTTCACGAATTTTGCCAAATACGGTAATCCGACACCAGGGCCCGTGGGCGGCGCCTCATGGGAGAGATTTAACCAGAGTCACATGGTCTACCTTCGGATTCTGGAGGAGCCGTCAATGGCGATCAACTATCAGCCAACCAAGATGGCGTTTTGGCGTGAGTATTATAAAACGTTTTTAACAGAGAAAGAATGTCGTGTTTTAGCCGTGGCAAGTCGGGGAACTAGAGGCAACGAAATACGAATCACTTCGTTTATACTCGTTTACGTAATCATTGTTACCGTGTTGTTTTAAGCATCGTTCATGAAGCATTACAGGAATTGCGGCTCCTATAGGTATATTTTAGTTAACCCGGTTGTCCGAAATACGATTATCGCTTATCTAGAATTAAAAGTTAATCGTAGTTTTTACATTCGATTCCCAAATACAACTGCTAATATTTTGCAGATTAGCCGAAAGTCAAAACAGAGAGAAAAACGACAACAACGGGAAATGTCTTTAAAGGTTGCAAACCCGAAATATAATAAAAAAAAGTGCATGCTAACCTTGATTGACGCAACCGTACTTTGAATAATTGGGACCTTTGTTCTAATAGGACTAGCCTGTTCCAGATTCTCGTGTCAGGCCAGTGCGAACGGTCAAAAAAGCCGGCGATTGAAAGAAAAACGAGCGGGGTCTGGGAGAGAAAAAAGTAAGGATCAGTCCCGCTCTTTTTTCGTTCGTCTCGCCCGCTTCTTTGATAGTCTTCACTGACCGAGAGCCTGGAACAGACTAAATAGGACAGGATTAACGCCCTAGAGGCTGCATTCTTCATGACCAGCGATGAAACGTTTTTTTGTTTTTGACTGGTAGGTAAGCGGGAAGAGAACAAAGGTCCTGGGTAGAGAATTCAGGAGATTGTTAGACCAGTTGTGTTATAGAGCAGTTTTCATTTGAATGACGAAAAGTGATTGGTTTTGCATCGCTACGCCAGACGATTGGCTTAAAAAACTCGCGTCAATTTTTCATCCAGTCAGAAGTAAAACCAGAACCAATCGTGACTCGTTCGCGCTCGTTTTCCCGCGCTTTGCGTCCACGACATAAATACCTCGAGTTTTGATTGGTTCACTAGATTGCCTGTGCAATTTGTGATTGGCTAGAGTGATTACTTTGGTTTTGGTTTTACGACAACCTAATGAAAACCGCTCTGTGTATGTCAAAATGAATCTCAAAATTATTGGAATCTCGTAAAAACTGTGGAAAAAAAACAGGAAAGAAAAACTAGGAAGCCTAAAAGAATTAAAAACTTATTCCCGTGGAAAGAGAACATTGACCAGAAGTTTATAAGATACTTTTATAAACCTCTGACTTGACCCAAAACTAGTTTTTAAACTAGTTTTTTTCAAGAGAATAAGAGAGAGACCTGGTGCGCATGCAAGAAAGCAAAACGACCAGGTCACTCTGATCTAGCGTCGAACAGCAGATTAGCAACTTGACAAGAACCTTTGATGCTTGCAATAAGAGAGGAATCTTCGAACAAAATTAAACGTGACCTGGGTTCTTCGCTGATGTACGGCAACACAGCTGCAATAAACCGAAACCCAAGGCCGCCCAAAATTATATTTGTTTTTATGTATAGCCTGATCGGAACTCAACATCATGCAGAAATTAAGCATTTGATGGAATTTCCATATTATATTGCAAAATATCACAAATACATCGGACTAAAAGTTTCTACCGAGCAAATCAGAACAAGTATTTTGGGAAAGGTGATAATGGTTACAAGAATGGAGGTGGATTACAATTCATCAAATTGGCCGTTCGTGAGAAAATTTCAAGAAATCAAATAACCATTCTGGTGATATTTTGGATCTTTAAGTCATTTACTTTTTTCTTTTTACTTGTTATTCTTTTACTTTACCACATTTAGAGTCTTTTTTCAGTTCTGTTTGGAAGACGATAAGAAAGTTTATAGCAAGCTATCGACCGTTCAAAGCAGGTCAAATAAGATATGGTAACCACAACACCCAGTCCCTAACCAACTGTTATTACATGGCTAGCTTCGTGCGCGGGGAAGATGAGCTATATCTTGCGCTGTGGTTGGCTACCCGACTGGCAAGATGGCGCTATCTTGCCCGCGAGGGATTACCCGGTGTGCACCGCAAGAAAATAGTGTTTTTTCCATACAGTATATAATAAATCCTTTATTGACCAAGATTGTTCGGTCAAAATGGCTCGATATTGGCCTCTTTTTGGCGTCTTTATGGGCTGAGCCGGTGTCGAGGTCCATAAACACGCAAAAAAGAACTTCTTACCAAATCCGACAAAACGTTGCGCTCAGCATCTCAGTTTATTTCTCCGAAAAGAATTATAGGAATGTAGTTAATTCATGGCTAAAGGAAATGACGGGCAAGAGCTACTGATTAGGTCTGATATTCAATATTAAATTTTTAAGTATTGAAACCTGTAATGAGAAATTGTATGTTGATGTCAGGACTCAAACGGTTGATGGATCATCAAATTCTCCCAACTACTACTATTAAAAATGTATAGCGAGCAGTAAGAAGAATTTGTATGCTGACATCGGGGCTTAAAGGGTTGATAGATCATCAAATTCTCCCATCTACTACTATAAGAAATGTATAGCGAGCAGTAAGAAGAATTTGTATGCTAACATCAGGGCTTAAAGGGTTGATAGATCATCACATTCTCCCAACTAGTACTATAAGAAATGTACAGAGAGCAATAAGGAGAACTTGTATGCTGAAATCAGGGCTTGAAGGGTTAATGAGAAGGCAGTTTATAAGTGGAACTTGACATGGAGGCTTCAGATTATACATCGTTGTCTCTTACCTCTTACCGTTATAAACGCATAACTGCAACTAAGGAGAATTTTCATGTTGCTACATAATTAGCAGCGTTATCAGTGTTATAAAGTAGAAATGGAACCGTAGATCTGCACCAGCAGCAGTTTGTTCAATATTACAATTTTTTTTAACAAACATGTTAATAAAATATTTTAAAAGAACCATTGAGTATATTCCTATTTGGCCGTGAGGTTCGTTACGAATACTGAGCTCTTTACTCTCTTACAGACCCTGCTCCTTGCTTTTGCTCATACCACTAGTACTATTGTTATTACTATAAATTATTATTGCTACTTTTCACCCTGTCTCTCCTAGCTATGTTTTCCTGTTTTTTCGTTTTCTTCTATCTTCTGCCATCTTTCCTGTAGCCTGTTACAGGCTCTCGGTCAGTGGCTGGGACGATCGAAGAAGCGAGCGGGCGACGAGCGGGGTCTGAGAGACCGCCCGCTTTTTCGATCGCCCCCACTGACCGAGAGCCTGGAACAGGCTACCTTACCTGCTACCCCCAACCCACTCCCCCTTCCCCCGCCGGACTGAAGTTCAGTTAATTAAGAGATGTACCAGAGAAGTACCAAGATACCCATGACGTGAAGATATCGTAGCTAGTGGGCGGTATCTTCAGTTCTCTAATGCTTTCAGCTACAACTGCAAAACCTATTTCGTTTTAAAAGGTATCTCTTAGGGGTCAAATCAAACGACGATCGAATAGTATCCCATGATGCAGCTGGTTTAGGCTTATATTATCACTGCGTACGTGACGTCATCATTCATTCCACACTCTCGATCAGGATGAAGCCACGGCGTGCTTTCATACTTGTCTGGATTCCGTGGCTTCTGCTTTTAACAGTACCGAGTTAGTTTATATTCAATGCGTTTCAAGGGAGAATTTTGCCGTTACAGTGAAGGGTTTTACTTGTGTTTCGTTGGTCTGTCGAGAAATACATATAAGCTATGTGGAAAG